TGCTGAACCAAGCTCCTGCCTTCTTGCTAGACAGCCCCAAAATGAGCCAGGCTCCTTCCTTCTCTACTTCCTCCAGGCCTGGTATTGGCTGCAGATGAAGCCGGAGGGGGGGTAGGTTGGCCCAGAGGCTTTCTTTAACCCCTTGAACACTGGGACCTCCTTTTTCTGCTGCCTCACACATGCCAACAATGTGTATAAAATGATTTAAAGGACTATCTTTCCATTTTTTTTAAACTAAATCTGTTAGTATCTAAGATGCCACAGGACTGCTCATTGTTTAAACCACTTACAGTGGTGTTTATAATTCAGAAAAAGGTGATATCCTTTAGTTTTACAACCCAGAGTTATCTGAATTTTAGGACAGATTAAGTTAATGCAAAATGTGCTTACAAAATTCCACACTACTGCATACCTCTGACTAGAATGAAAATAATTAACTGTATTGAGCTAAATTTCTGCCTGTAATGTCTTGTAGAATTAGGCTGATAAGTATAGCATTTATAAATGGCAGCATTGTGACAATAGACATACACTCTGGTTGGCCTGGTGTGGAGTTGCAACTTCGGTTGCAAGATTCCTGTACAGGAGTCAGGATTGGGGTATATGAGGGGCTCAGGTCAGGGTGCTGGGGGCAATGTTCCCTCTAAACTGCTGCAGGACAGCTTCACAGGTGATTAATCAGCCCCCCTCAGTCAGTCCGCTCTCTGCATGGAGCCCTAAGCCTCTGACTGGGTTGGACTGATTAAGCACTTATAAAGCTGTGCTGCCACGCAGCTTAGAGGGAACACTGGTTGGGGGTGGGGAGGTGGAGGACAGGTTGCAGGAGACAGGGGCAGGGTCCTGAGGATGGGAGGAAAAGCAGGGGAGTGGGGCTAACTTGCCTGGACCAGGTTGCTGCAGCCGGGCAACTAAGACTGGACAAGGGCCAAGCCAGGATCATCAGCCCTTTCTGCAGCAGATGGGGGCCAGACCATGAGGCCCACGCCTGGATGGGGGTGGGCCGCTGCAGCCACATCCCCAGAGGGACCTATTCTGTCCCCATCATGAGCGAGGGCAGAGAAGGAATGCCACCCCTCTGTAGTCGCACAGTTAAGCTGACTGGGAGACCGCGATCTTCCCCTTGAGACTCCCAGATGGCCCCTGTGAATTGACTACTCCAGATCAAAAGCCCCAGACTCTTAGCAGAGTGGCATGCCACCTAACTTCCACCTCTGGGTAGAGGGCAGGCATTAGAACTCCCTTCCCTCTGTGTGGCCAAGAAAGCTCTAGCACGGAAAGAAAGTGTGTCCCGGGCAGGAGCCCGTAGCAGGAAGCAAAGTGTGTTGGTGCATTGCTAAGAGATACCCAGTCATTTCTAGAATCTTCTCAAGTCTTCCAGTGTATTCTCAAATGTTCTCTGTGACAGACGGTGTGACGGACACCTCTCCTTTTTATAATAGTTTAGATTTTCATAATGATTCTTTACACATAGTTCCTGTACCTTAATGAATTCTCACCAACACATCCATAAAGGCTACTAATTTTTGAATTCTGTAAGAGGTTTGTGCTACAGGTACTATATTCCATATATGTATTATGTACGGTACCTTAAGGGTGTATAAGGAGGAATCATTTATTACATTTAGTAGTCTGCTGTTGAAGTAGTAAAAAATTGCAGATTGTCTTGTGCAGAAATTTGCTCTTCAGTTTACTAGTAATGATGACCAGTTTAGTCAAGTTCAATAGGAACAGTAGCTATATACATTGCAATAAAAATAAAACATATTGATTTATGAAGAAATGTATAATGCTGGCTATGCTACAGCTTGATTAGCTAGATCGGAAATAAATAGAGAATTGTTTCTGCGTATGTGCACTCCATCACCAGCCCTCTTCCACAGACTTCTCTTATGCAGAAGAGATGGAGTTATCCCTCAAATTATTTTTCAAGGCAGGCTTGGAAGATCAAATATGATCTGAGGAAGTAATTGTGGAAACAAGATTAAAAGTGGCAGTTACTCCAACACCTAGAAACACAAACACGACTGGAATATAAATTCATTTGCCTTTTTAAAAAAAAAAATTAACTTAGTACGTCTTTATTTTGTAGATCGTTCCTATATGAGATTAACAGAAAAAGAGGATGAAACATTGCCGATAGATGTAAGTTGTACATTTGAATTATGTTTAGAAGACTTAAGACTAGATAACTTGGTCTCTTGCTTTTATTTCTGTTCATATTTTTTTGTTGAACAGAATTGAATTTTTAATCAAACGATCTTTCAAGTTCTCATTCTGCTGGAGGATGTTTCACCGAGCAGTTCTAACTCCAAGTGATGCATTACAGCTCTTACAAAGTGTTTGCAGATAAGAATGAGTTAGACATTCTTCTCCTTCTTTAGAACTGTTGGTGAAATGGCCCCTCTAGGAATTCTCTGGCTTCTGTAGGTAGAATTTGGAAAATCCTTGCATAAGTCTTCTGTACTCTGCAATATAAACATCCACCTCCCTCTGGCTTTTGTTGGCTGACACTTGTTTATTCAATGCTGTTAACCCAGCATAACTTGCTTTGTTTACTTCAGTGTTTTTATTTCTGATTTTGATTGTCTTTCTTCATTGACAAATATAAAAATGACATGTAGAAGTGGACTCGACTAGATGTCATTTTTCACAGTTCTGGAGGTCACAATTTTATCTCAGTATTAGATTCATTCTTTTACAGCCACAATCTGAGCGCACAAAATGGTGATTAAGTGCTCTGAGGAATATAGAATCTGCCTGCAGAACTGTCCAAGGCAGCTAGATCTAGTTTGGAGGGGACAGGGTAGGTGCCAGGAAACCTCCCTTGTGGTCCTGCTTTTGATATTGACTTGCAGTGTTACCCTCACTGGCAAGCTACTTAATCCAACTCAGTCTCCCTCACTGTCCAGTAAAATGGGGTAAAAGTTACTTGCCCATTTTCATAAGTTCCTGGTTGAAAAAATGTGTGCACTTGTGTAAAACTGAGCAAACCAGTGAAATAACTTTACAATTGATGTCATTGTTTAGCAACCTCTGTGTTGTGTATTGTATCTCTCTCTGTTGCAGATAGTTCTTCAAACACTGTTGGCCTTTGCACTTACGTGTTATGGAATAGTACATATTGCAGGAGAATTTAAAGACATGGATGCCACTTCAGAACTAAAAAATAAGTATGTTGGGGTTTTACTGTTCATTGACATGCACTTTCCTGTTGCTCTATAAATAAACTTGGCACATCCTGTGACATAGCACTGCCAGAAACGTTCTGGTTTTTAGCTCACGCCTGCTTGACTATATGCTGTAGATATGACGCTGGGAAGGACAGGAGGGGCCAGGAAGCTACCACCTATCTGGCTCTGGTATTCTAGACAGGATGAAGCTACAGGAGTGAATGGGACACTTTCTGCCCTTCCTTGTCTTCTCCCTTAAGCCTCCTAAAAGCCCACTGCGTAGAAGTAGTGGTGTGAGTGGGTGAGGATTAGGGAGGTATGAGGACACTGAACTGTTCTTGTCCAGTGGGCTCAGTGGCAGACTGAGAGGCAGAAGTTCTTAGCTCCAATCAACTCTGTTTTCACATCAGTAAATAGGGATAATACATATCCCCTCCAAATTTGTTGAATTGGTTACATGCTATAGACATGCCAAATTGTTATAGATGGAATTGTATACATCTTGTGAAGGGTTTTGAATTGAATTTTGTGGCTAGGAAATGAGAAGCAGAAAACCTGCTCTTAGAGAGCAGTCTGAATAATATTGGACTTAAATAAATCCGTATAAGATTGGCAGTACAGGGGGAGCTGAAAGTAAAATGCTAAGAAGTGAGAGTGAATTAAGAGCATTATTAGTGCTGAGGCAAGGTCAAAGGGAGGAGGGTGATGCTTCATAGGTAGTTAACATGTGTATATAAAGAAGCAGATGGAAGGGAGAGTAAAGCTTATTAATGCTGTAGATGTTTTCTGTATACTAAGCAATTGGCATAACTATCTCCCCAGTAGTAGCATCTTGTAGCTAAAATTCTTAATGGTTGTTATGCTATAGGAAATGTGGGTAACAGCTAGAGACTTGGCACCCCATAATTGGTAACAGCATTTATTTTTCTGTTTGTAAAAATCTGGTATTTCCAGGAGTGTTTTGTCAAATGATCCATCTAAAGCCATGTTAATTTCATTTTTCATATTTATTTTAAGGACATTTGACACATTAAGGAACCATCCATCTTTTTACGTATTTAATCATCGTGGTAGAGTATTGTTCCAGTCTCCAGACATAGTGAATTCTTCAAACCAAGATGCTTTGTCGTCCAGTGCGTCATTGAAGTTACGAAAACTTGAACCTCTGCGCCGTTAAAGTTTTTACAGATTATAATAGAACAGGACACTGAGATGTAATATTGGAGTTGGGGGATGTAAACACTTTTTTAATTTCTGGAGCAGTATTTATATTGATCTTCCAGACTTTATAAAATATATATATATAACTAAGGACCTTCTTTGTACACCGTTAATGCAAATGACTGAATTGTGAGTGGGCAGTGGAGTGTAAGTTATTGCTACAATTATGCTGTGAAACACATCTTTGAACTTTCATATATTAATGTTGCAGTTGATTTTTTTTGTTAGAACTATTCTTATCCTTAAGAAAAGGCAAAGTTTTAATTTTAATGAATATTCTTTGAAGAGAGGGAATGCTTTAATGCTATTTATTTTCTTGATTTTCTTGTATTACCCTTTAAGAAACTCCGTCAGATATAATGGATGCATTGCAGCATTTAGCAGCAAGAAAAGTTAGGACAAGAAGCTGTCTCCTGTTCCTAGAAAGTCTGAGATGCACATTTTGGGTCTGTTTGCTGTCATTTTCACAATGCTAGAAAAGTGGCTGTGTTGGACGGGTTTTCTAAGTCTTAATTTTCAAGTTATTCTCCTGTTTAAAAACATACTATTCTATTGCTCCCAAATTTGTCAAGAATGCTACAGCTGGTAAATGTACAGGAGAGACTGCTTGGTGTTTTTTTGATAATCAAATATGTTCAGCTTGTTTATCCACTGTATTTGTATTGATCTCTGTGCATGTATGCAGGAATGTTCATAAGATGGCTCAGTCATATTTCAATACCATACACAGCCCCAGAAACTAGTTTCTCTCATATGCATTCTGAGGAGCAGTTTTCATAAGTATTATAAAGAAATATCCATTCTAACAGATTGTATATGTTTTCCAATAGGGTGCTTTAAGGATTAGGGGGCTAAATGTGCGTGGTGTCACTAGGCCCTGAAGCATCAAATCAAGCTAATGAAACTTACCTCTGAGCCATTAGCTGACTTGAGAACTGTTTTGAGGGCACATGTTCTTAAAGCATGGCTTAGCCTTTAACCTTTACTAACTTTTTTAAAGGCTGGTTTTACTGTTTAACTTTGTCTAGGTGTGGCATTTCAAATTGGTAACTGAAAGTTTCTCTGCTGCTTCCATGACATAGCAGAGATCCTTTGTATTGTGTAAAATGCTTTACAAGGCCCACATTGATTGCTGTATATTCCCTCTGGAAGAGCTCTTACTTCAGCATGCAAAACTCAGCCTTTTACCCTATTTAAAAAAAAAAATTTTTTTTATTCAACCCAGCAATCTGAAAGTTCAAAAGCAAAAAGTATAGGAAAGCCACAGAAAACTAAGCACCTTCTGCTGGTCCATCTAAGGGCCTAGTATCTGTATGAGAACAGCTGTATGGGTAGTTGCTTGGAGTAGTTTTAAGAATGTCAGTAGGAGGTTCTTTGGGCTGGTTAAATATCCAGAAGGATTAGTGTGGTGGTTAAAACATTAGTCTTCGATCCCCTTCCCCCAGAGTCATAAATAAGCTCTATTAACTGATCGCTGCTACCTTTGAAATCCTTGAGCTGTCCCTTTTAACTTCATTTTTACATACAAGGCTGGTATATAAGGAAAGGACTGCTTTTTGCCCTGACAGCTGATCTGGAGGAAATAGATATATCTAAGCCATCAAGACTCTTGCTAGCTATGGAGGAGCACAAGTGGTATGGGAAATGAAATGAGGTTCTCATGCCATTGGATTAAATGACAAAAGGTGAAGAAAGAAGACCTGAGCTTATGTTACTGGCCTAGAAGACTGATATGCCAATTGTTTGGCAGCATACCATTTGCCTAACAGCTCTAGAGCAGGGCTGCTCACCTTTTAGTATCTCAGAAGCCATGTTCATGCTGCTGTCAGGCTGTCTAGACCTACTTGGCGCAAGAGGTGCTACAGTGTGAAGTCTGGCGTCCTGCTTGGAGCAAAATGTTTGTGTCTCAACTCTCAATGTTTCAGTTTGAGAGCTGCAAAGCACTTTGGTGGTTGCATCTGGCCTGTTAATCACATGAGGCGTAGCCTTACTCTTTAGGAAACAATGGTTATATCATAAAGCTGTACACTTTTTCCTATCTTGCAATGCCCAATAAAGAATCGATATCCTTACGAAGCTTTTGGTCATAATTTCTCTCCTGACTTTCTTGCACCCTGCCACTGCCAGGGCAGTGAGGGTTCTATAGAAATCCTTCAGATGGAAGTTGTAAACAAACCAGGGGGAGAGGACCTTACCATGCCTCAACTACTTTAGCCATGAATATCTCAAGCACTTTCAACAGGGACCCTACAACTCCAAAAGCTCTCCAGGACTTTGTCTACACTGCTAACTTTTGCCAGCAGAGGTTATGCTAATCTATTCAAGGGGGTTTTGTGCAAAAATGGCTCAAACTGATGAAGCACTGATTAGCATTTTGTTGCACAATTTGCATAATCTGCTGGCAAAAGACAGCAGTGTAGACGTAGCCCAGGGGTTTATGGTCTCTCAGGGCTTCTACCCTGCAGAGAAGCTGTTTCCCCTTTTAGGTGGCTGGAATCCATTCAGGGGCAACTAAGCCTACGATGGCATGAGCTCTACCTCCCCTAGTGCAGCTCCACCGTGGCTGGAATACACATTTTTCTACTATAAACACATCCTAGGAGTCAGCATCCTCCCTTGCTTCAAAGGGGCAGGAAGAACTGTAGCTGCCTTGTCATCATTAGCACTTCTAGTGAGCCCAGAGGACAGGTAGGGAATGTGGGGAGATTTTGACTGTTTAAATTTTAACACAAGCAGAAAACTTGTACCTGCTCCCTGCATGACAAAACAGCCCTGAGGAGCCAGGTTACTTTGCCTTGTAGTTCACACTGAAGCCTCTCAAATCATTCAGCATAACAATGGGGGAGAGGGAACGAGGACAGAACTGGCACTCAATAGAACTAACAGAGAGCAT